ATTAGTTTTTAATGACTGCCGTAATGTTTTACTATGAGGTTACTTAGTATGGCGGTGCTGGGTACTGTCTCGAAATGAAAACGGGCAATCAGTCGATACTGCTTTGAAATATACTAAATTATAAAGTCGTTACCAAGTACTAAATCGCCAGTTTCCATTGTGGCAATGATCTAAACAGACCGGGTAACTCAAAGTGCAACATGATATGCACTTTTTCTCTTTTGTTTTTCTTTTTTTCTGACTCTTCCGCTCTACAGGGGCAGTGAAAACAACCTTTTGCCAAGTCACGCACACACATTTCAAAAACAACTCGCCTTTTCCGTATCCTTCAGTTTAGGAAAAAGCAAAAAATATCTTTTTTTTCTCTTCATTTGCTTTTTGAACATCTATAACGGATGCTATTTAATATACTATTTGAGTGAAAATGATCACTGTGGTTTAGTGAGGGGTCGATAATGATAATCACAATGCTGTAACTGTGCGATTAACTGTTATTACTCTTTTGGTCAACGCCTTCACTAAATACGAAGACAAAAGAATGATAAGAGTAAAGATGAAGAGAGAAGGAAAGAGAGAAAGTGAGTTGGGGAACGAATGGTAGGCAGAAGAGAAGAAAGACGAGAGGAAGAGAGTAAAGACGAAATACCGGAGGAGAAGCGAATGCAAAACAACTTAGTCATAATCAAGAGCTGCTGATACTTTGAGGTCGTACCGCCTGTGAATCGAGATAAGTAGAAAAAAAAAAAGAAAAGAAAAAGAAGAAAAAAAAGAAAAGGAAAGAAAAAGAAAAAGAAAAAGAAGAAGAAAAGAAGAAAAACTCACTATAGATTAAATCGTGTACCATGGGCATAGAGGTTTGCATTACGAGAAAGTCCATGATGTACAAAGTCTTATCAACGTCTTAATTGAGGCCTTCATGGTGCCCAAGACAAAAGCGAAGGCGTGGCTGTAGTTTCTGTAATGTCAAGATGAAAAAAGGTGTTAGTGGGACAAAAAATCTTATTGAGGTCTTGTATATTTGACAGAATGTAAGATCTACGGAACTAAGGATATGGCAAAGTTTAACAACACATAGATAATTAGAATACTAAATTGTTTATACCAACATTATGAATTACATGATATCCATGTCCCGGAAACTTTTTCATTATTATTATTATTATTATTATTATTATTATTATTATTATTATTATTATTATTATTATTATTTCTAATACCTGATAATGATCTATCCATCTATCCCAAAAGGTATTTTGATTTATATAAGAGCAAAATTACATATTCACTTTATCAACATGATATGGGGAGGAGGGTGAGGGAAGGAGGGAGAGGGGAGAGACATTAAAGTTGAATCGTTCAATTCTCGCTCCCACTCCCTCTATCATAAATTGGTTGTGTTAAGTGCAATATACACTTTAGGCAAAATCCTTGTCTCATAGGTTGCATTATATACCCCCCCCCCCCCACCACATATATATACATATATATGAGCGTGTGTGTGTGTTTAGATACACACATATACACATATGTATGCATACACACGTGTGTGTGTATGTGTTGTGATACTACTTCACAGTAATAGTATCAGTTGTAATCACAGAAAACAAAGAAAGCACATACCTTTTTCCTAAACCTCACCGATTCGTAGATCTATACTTGATCAGAATTATTTTCTTGTTGGTACTTACCTAATACTGCTTTAATTCGCGGTATTAAGTAATGAAAAGCATAATTTTGTATTTAATCTTGAAGAGCAGGGTGATGTACCCGATATGACAACGCGCTGCCAAGGTTAGAGGCGGTTGGAGGGGAAAGGGAGTGGCTTAGAAGACACGGGTGTATAAAAGTCAGCTGCTGGATGCTCCAAGTACCACATTTGATCTATCTTCATCATGTTCACTAAGGTGAGAATATTGTATCATTTTCAATCGGGAAATAGTGTTTCCTGAAAAAAAAACCCCGTTGATTGATGTTTAACATTAATACAGAATCCATAACTTGTAGCGTTACTAATTTTGTAATTAAATATTTTGTGTCTATTTTCAGGCCGTCGTCGCTCTCGCCCTTGTGGCCGTCACTCTGGCTGCTCCTTCACAGCCTTCCTACGGATATGCTCCTCCTGCTACCTATGACGTAAGAAAAACTCTCATTAATAGTAACGTTATAACGGCATATAATAAAACCGAAATGATTCGCAATGATTACAATGAACTCGCACTAATATCCCTTTTTTTCTTATTGTAGGCTCCTGCCAAGCACGACTTTAACTACGCCGTGAAGGACGACTACTCCGGCAACGACTTCGGTCACCAGGAGGCCCGTGATGGCTATGACACCCAGGGATCCTACTACGTCCTCCTTCCCGACGGTCGTCTGCAGAAGGTCACCTACACTGTCAACGGCGACTCCGGTTACGTGGCTGAGGTCAGCTACGAGGGTGAGGCCCAGTACCCCGAGTACAAGCCTGCCTATAAGCCTGCTCCTGCCTACAAGCCTGCCCCTGCCTACAAACCTGCCCCTACTTATGCCTAAATGAAACAGATATGAATATATTTAACGTTGATATTTATTAAACGAAAACATCATTACCATACATTTGTATTTTCTATCCCGCTCAAGCTAAAAATAATGCTACTTATATGTATCAGCAAATGTTCAGTTTTCGATTGCTCTTTTTAGCAGTTGCTATAACTGAATTGCATTTCACTTCGTAAAATCATTAGAATTACATCAAAGAAATGGCAGAAAAATAGTCATGTTCCTATTTGCCGCAAGAAGTGCACATCGAAACGAATGCCTTAGACAAAGAAGAAAAAAAAAGAAAAAAAAGAAAAAAGAAATTGATATTGATATACAAGCTAAGTTATCTGGAGTTACCGATATAGTTAAGAAAGCATGATTCAAATTCCAACTCTCTCTTATATAGAGAACATACATAACTCAAACCTTTAAGCACATCTTCAAAGCCATAGATGATGTAAACTGATGTGCGCGAGTCCACCGACAGACTCTGACTAGTCTGAGAATTTACCTGTAGCTTATAGATGACATATTATTCGTAATGCCTGGAGTAATAGAGAGACCGGGAGGGGAGAGGGAGACACAGGGGGATCAGAAACGTGTAATTTATTATAGTGGGAGAGTTGGATGAGAACTGTTTATAGATTTTAGTATTATCATTGCCATTATCAACACTATAAGATTACCCCATTTTCATTCTATTATATATATATTATATATATATATATATATATATATATATATATATATATATAATATATATATATATATATATATATGTATATATATATATATATAATTCAGATGATACATTTTGTAATTGTTGAAGTCTTTCCCTTCAAAGAGGCGAGTTTCATAGGCACTGAAACAAGAAATGGAGGATGGAGGATGATATAACATATAAAGTACAAACCACATGTGTTACAACTATAGTATATGTAAACATTTACAAAACAAGTCTGAACTT